GCCGGGAGGCCGCGAGGATGCAGCTTAGACCGCACAGCAGGGGACTGACGAAGCCAGGTAGCGGTGCCGGGTTCCACCCACACGCACGAGAGGCAGCTAGAACGAATCCAGCCTAAGACGCGCCGTATCACTGCGGGATCGGTGATGTCGTCACCTGCGCGGCGACTCGAGTCGAGGTGCACGACGCCGAAGCCCAACCGCTGCAGGGCGCGGGCCGCCCCGCCGTCGCAGCCGAGCACCAGCGCAGGGCAGTGCCTGCTTCTCGTAGACGCCCGCCTGGCAGAGCGCCACAGGCGCGTCAGACGAAGGCCCGCCGTGCAGTGATCTGTGGGGGCTGCGGCCTGACAGCAGGCGGCGTCGGCGCCACTGCCAGCGGCACCTTCAATGGGAAGACGCCCGAGGCCGTGGTCTGGAGGATGAGGTCGTTCATCTGCCTGTCCACCTGCTCGCCGAACTCCACGACGTTCTGGCCTAGGCTGGCGAGCCGCTGCTGCATGCGGGCCCGCTTCGCGTAGCGGAGGAGGCTCTGGTCCGTCCTCCAGCGGCCGCGGTCCTTGACCTCCTTCCTCGTGCGCCTGAGCGACAGCAGGTCGTCGGACGCACCCCCATGACGAAGCGAGTAGAGAGTCAACTCGGTCTCCAGACCGAGGGCAACTGCGACTCGACGGAACATACTCCGCACCTCGTCGGGGGCGAGGGTCCACAGGCCGTCGTTCGGGCCCTTGTCGTGAACCAGGGCCTCCAGGAGCGGCCAGATGGTCGGGTTGTCGGCGATCACGCTCTCGCCCATCTCGCCTGTCTTGCCAGGACGGTCGAGGCAGGCGTCGTTGGCGATCAGGGCCCAGTGGCCGTGCCCCAGGACGCCGTCGGGTCGAGGTCGTATCACGCTCCCCGCCGCGAGGCGGTATGCCTCGCTTGGCCTCAGGTATGTACCGAACATCAGCCTGATGAACACAGCCATGCCGAAGAGCTTCCACGCTATCAGGACACCCACGATGGACGCCATCGCCGCTCGAGGTAGAGGGAGTCGCATCTGAGGGGGAACGAGCTTCCGCCTGCCTGTCAAGGCGCGAGCCGCCCGTGGGCACGGAGTCCTGCCAGCGAGGATCGCGGGCAGGTAGTGCTTCAGAGCGGCCATGAGTACACGGCCCGTGGCACTGTCGAAGCCGTCCAGAAAGAGGTTCACGAAATAGGTAACTAGGATGACATCGACCTCCTCTGCCGTGGTGAACGTCTGGGACGTCCAGCGGCACCACTCCTCGAACTTCTTGGCGGCGCCCCAGTAGTTGGCCATGGTCGTGTCCGACGCGGCGGCCGTCTCCAGCACCGACAGGGCCCCTCGGGCGAGCAGCGCTGGCCCAGGATGGGTCCTGGTCCTTTGCTCCGCCAGTGTCGTGGTCCGCTGCCGTCGAAGTTCGGGGGGCATTCGCTTGGTGCTCCTCGAAGGTCGGCCCGACGAAGAAGCCCGTCCTGGACGGCGAGTCAGCGGCATTGCTCTCGCTGGGGATCCACCGAATGGCGTGGCGGATGCCCGTGGCCGCCGACAGGGCGCATAGACGGCGTAGAGGGTCGCGAAGGCCTCGGGCGCCAGGACGGCCCTTGCCAGCGGCAAGAGCTAGAGCCAACTTGTCAACGGTGAACAAGATGCGATGATGACGAAGCCGTCCAGACCGAGCCGAGTGTCGCATCGCAAACCCGAGAGCTTCCGCCACGTATCGCAAAATGTCCAAGCCGAACTTCGAGTGACGCGAACTGTGCATCGTGGCCCAGCCGTCGAAAGCCGTGATCGAGTCGGGAACTTCGTCGAAGCCGTCGAGGGAAGCAGCGTCAGCTGGTTGATGTAACGATGATGGCGTAGACGGAGGGCCCTCAGGGATCTTGAGAGGCCTCGGACTGAGGCGGCATTCTTCGAGGCAATTTTTGTCCACGGTAGCTTCAAGCACAGTGCGAGGTTCGATCCCGAGAGCGTGGGCACGGGCGTGCACGGCGTCGGAGAACCGATAACGCCATCTCTCATACAAGCGCCCAGCGGCCGCGACGACCTCCTGGTCGGCGGTCTTGCGGCAGACCCCGATGCCGTAGGGGGGTCGTCGCTGCAGAAAGTGGTCGCCGACCGCTCTGCTCTAACGTCGGCCCACCATGGCGGTATGAGGGCGGCTGCCGCGCGCAGCTCGGCGATGACCGACGGCCACAGCGGCGCGGCCACTCGGGCGCCCAGGCTCATGAAGCGGTAGACTGCGTTGAAGATCGACAGCATGGGTCTATTGGTGATCATGCCCCACGTACAGTGACCCACAACTGCTGACAAGGCCAAGGGCGATGCGAAGCCACGTCTAAGTAGACCAAGCAGGGCTTGACGCAACCGGCAGAGCCTGTCGATCTTACAGCGGACGATGCCGACGTCGCCGAGAATGTCCAAGCCAGTGAAGACCACGCGCTTGGCGGCGGGGGCGAACTCGTCGACGGGCAGACCCCTCGACGCGAGCACGTCACGCATGGCCTGGCAGGCTGTCGTGGCCACCTCAGGGTCGAGGGACACGGTGGCAAAGTTGTCTACGTAGCCCGCGCCAATGACGTCGGAGTCCTTCCGCAACGGGGGGATGGCAGCGCCGCCCACCAGCAAGGAGCTCTCGTCGATACCCGAGTCGAGAATGGCCGTGGTCAGGGCGGACTGGCAGAAGTGGAGGGCCCACGACCAGCCCATCGGCATGACGGAGACGAACGGCTGCAAGAAGGCGTTCGTCCCGATACTCATTCCGTTGAGCCGCTTGAAGCCCAGGTGCCGATTCGGGACGACGGGCAAAGAAAAACATCGATGCAGATGTGGCGGTAACTTCGCGTGGTAAAATGCGCACTGAATATCGCCCTGGGCCACGTAGAAGTCGCGGTCGGCCTCGAGTGCGCCCCATGCCGACGGAGTCGGCAATCTCGTAGAGGGAGGGGCAGAGAAGGACATGTTGGCCACCCGCGTGTCGAAGACGAGGCGCAGGTTGACGCCGTTGGACTTCTCGACGAAGAAAAAGCCAGTAGAGTAGGTAGCCTGACGATCGGCGACCTCCCACTCAAGCATGCCAGCCTGGTCCAGGCGTAGCAGAAACTCAGCATGCTCCCGAGGGCGAAACCGATGGCGTGGATCCACATAGGGCGACCCCAGTCCCGAGTCCTTCCTGAGAGCAGCTGCATCAGCAGGGTCACGTAGCATTTGATGCCTCCGCCCTGCCAACATAGAACGATCAGCTTCAGACACGAGGTCGGCCGTCGGGACAAGCGCCGCGTGCTTCGGCCAGGAGACGAGCTCCTTGTTGTAGGGTCTTACCCGAGACTCGCCAGAGTTCCCAGGCGCCGGTGCGAGCAACTCTGCGAGGGCTGCCTCGCATCTCGGAGGAGATTCGGAATATCCAGGAGGTAGTTCAAAATCGCGATACTGTTGAGCAAGATACTCCTCAGCGTCACTACGAGCACGCGGAGGAGGACCATGAGGCGGGCTGATCACATCGTTCGGGTCGCAGTGGTACATGTCGCTGAGAGTGGACACCGCGCCGTTGTACCACTCCCGCCACGCAGCACCCCTGGCGGCCCGTCTGCGCGCCGACCCGCCCATGGATGAAGTGCCTGATCTTCGCTCCACAGGAATAGGGCGGAGGGGGAAAACGTCTCGCTGTCGAAAGGGTGGTGCAGCGAGGGGGCAATGAGCCTGGCTGGCGCCACTGTGGCGCGCCCCACAGCCAGGCCTGAAGTTCTCAGGCGCCATGGCGCCCGCAAGGCCCGCTCCTCGCGAGCCTTGCTGCGCTCTTTGCTGGTGGCGGCCTCCGCCCTCATCTGGTCTGCGATGTACTCCAGCAACTTCGGCGAGATGCAGAGATTGGCCTTGGAGACACCTGCGCCGAGGAAGTAGCTGGTCTCGGGCGAGCTCGAAGTCCCAGCTGAGGCGCCGCCTCTGGCCGCGGCCTTGGCCTTGGGGGCTGCGCCACCCGGAGGTGGCGATCGCGTCTCGTACACCCGCTCCTCCAGGAGCTGGAGTTGGCGAGCGATGATCTCGAACGCTGCCATCTCGGCGATCTGCAGCTGATCGCACACGACGGCGAGGTCCAGGACGCGGCAGAGCGTCTCGTGCAGCTTGGCGTGCTCGTCCTCGTCGGGCAGGGCCATCGACGTGGGCCACCTCTGGTGCCACGCGGTGGGCGTACCCGCCATCGTCGACATGAAGGACAAACACCAGAGGAGGGTCCTCGGCCCTTGCACGGGCCAGCCCTGCACAGGGGTCTCCGAGAGGGCGTTGACGGTCTCTCCGAACCTCCTCTCACGCTCGCCCCTCGGGTTGAGCAGCATCGGGAGGACCCTGAAGTCGCCAACGGGGGCAGGCGCCCCAGGGGCGGCGGCGGCGGCGGGCGCAGCCCCCACTGCAGGAGCGGGCACCAGCGGCAGAACCCCCGCAGGCCCAGGCGGAACGGCTCCCAGCGCGGCGGCCAGCGCAGCGACGCCAGGGGCGACGCCGAGAGGGGCCGCCGCCGCGGCCGCGGCCGCGGTGGGCATCGCCAGCGGGGCCGCGGCCCCCGCAGGCAGCGCCGCCCCTTCCCCGCCAGGAGGTGGCGGCGGGGCCGCAGGCGGCAGGGCTGCGGCAGCCGCAGGGTCCGCCAGTGGGAAGGGACCAGACGGGACGCCTACCACGTTGCCCGCCGCGAGCGCCAGCGGCAGAGGATCGGGGGGCCTCGGGTAACCTGCGGCCACCGAGCGCGCGACAGCCGCCCACAGCTCCGCAGCCGTCGGAAGGCGGCGGAAGCGGTGCACCGCGACGCCCGCCAGCGCTGGCGGCGTGTCGCCTTGGCCCGCGAGCTGCAGGACCGCTCGCACGTCGGGGCCGACGACGATGGGCTCGTCGTAGTCGTCGAAGGCGGGCGTGAGGATGTAGCCGAGGCCCCCGTTGACGCCAAGCAAGAGGCGCTCGTGCCACAGGGGTACGCCGCCGACGCGGTAGCGCAGCACGTGGAAGCTGCCCGCCATCACTGCAGCGCAGGGGCGCGGGCTCTGGCGTCACGAACCTGCTGAGCCGCGAGGGCGGCGATGTCGATGCCGCCCACGAACTCCACCACGGCGGGCGGCTGGCGGGCCGACTGTCCGAGAAGCCGCCGCGCCGCCCAGGCGCCTCCCACGGCCCCGAAAGCGAGGCCGATGGTCAGCGCGGCCACCGAGTAGGCCGTGACGAGGCCCAGACACGAGGGCTCGACCACGTGCCCGCCCGCGCCAGCGCAGACGCAGGCGGGGCAGGAGAGGGTCGGAGGCGCGGGGCAGGCCAGGTGCGGCGAGCAGGCCCCGCAGCTCGGCGCGGCGGCCCGCGCCACGACAGTGGCCCCCAGCGCCTGCGCCCCGTACCTCAGGACGTCCGCCGCATGGTGGGCGATGTCTTGCATCACTGGGCAAGACACCTGAGAGACTTCAGAATGGAAGCGCGGCCCGAAAGAGAGCCACAAATAGCCGCGGGCAGCATGATGATGATGATGATGATGATGATGATGATGATGATGATGATGATGATGATGATGATGATGATGATGATGATCGTTCGATGCCGATGATGGTGAGTGATCGTGCGATGGTGATGGTGATGGTGATGCTGATGGTGATGATGATGATGATGAGTGGGGAGTGATGGTGATGGTGATGATGATGCGGAGGAGGAAGCAAAGAGGAGCAGAGGAGAGGGAGGAGGAGGAGAGATCCTGCGCGGAGGGTGTGCAGAGAAAACAAGAACCCCACTTAGGATGTGGGGAACAACCTTCGAACACATGCTGTCTCGCCGTTTCGCTTCCGATTTGTTTTTGGGGCCTGAAGATGGCTCCAAGGTCGCCAGAGAAAGCCCAAACATGGGCTCAAGAAGTCTCCAAGACGGCCCCAGGAGCGCTCAAGAGCACCCCTAGAGAGCCCAAGAGACGATGTGTTGGCCTCCGACGGGGAGAGTGTAACTGAAAGCCAACCATTTTGTTTTACCGATTGTCTCCAAGAGCCCCTGAGAGCCCCAAGAGCGCCCGCGGAAGAGACCCCAAGAAAGCTTCAGCATGGCTCCAAGAGGACCTCCAAGAAGGCTCCCAGAGGTTTCTAAGTTCTCCACTGTTGGCCTCATTGCGTCTCTACGTCCTTCCTCCCGAGACCTCCCCTGGGCATCGTTACCTTCATGGCTGATGGGGATGCGCGAAGCGCAGGAAGTTGACAAGCTCTGAGGGTAGATGTACCAGGAAGGCTCCTTGGTTTCCATCAGCCAGGGGTGGATGGGGGGGGGCATATGTTACATGTAACGAACGAAATGAAGAATGTCCAGCCACGCCCTTGTACATGACTAGTGCCTACTACAAAGTCCCCCATGATTGCAACAGAAAGAAAAGGTCCGCGCCCAATGACCTCCGTGCCGCGGCCTGTGTGCCCCGTGTGCTTCGAGCGCCTGGTGCCACTGGCCCTGTTGGCGTCCCCTGTTCGCCCGTGTGGGGTGACCGCCGCCCAAACATATTTGCCGTGTGTCGGCATTGTGCTGCGTGCACCGCGACGTGCACCCCGTGTGCCCCATGGGCCTTGCGTGCTGCGTGTGCCGCGTGTGTTCCGTGAGGTCTGCGCGCGCTCTGATACAGTAATGCTTCACTCGTTATCTTGCAAAGGGGGTTGCAAGCTTGCGGGGGGTGATTCCAGGACCGTGCCTCATGTTAAGTGGATGGTGCGGGGCATGGGTGGGCGAAGGAAGCCGTGGAGAAGAGGAGGACAATAGATGGCGGGGAGCCAGGCACTAAATCCTCTGCAAATCCTGCCCCGCCTTGCCTCGTCCGATTACGTACCTGGAATCTGGTGCTGCATGCGGCTACCTGACCGCTGCTGCCCCCTCCCCCCCCCGCACGCCGCTCTGCCCTGCCGGCCAGCCAGCCCAGCGCTGAGGGGTCCTCGGCCTGGCCAGGGTGCTGTCTGCCCTTCGTGCGGAGACAGAAGCCCACGCCTCCCCCTCTCCCCGCCCTCTCCGCCCGCCCTCTCACAAGGAGGGGGGAGGGTGAGCGGGGAAGAGGAACGTACAGGGGAGTTGGATTTCCGCTCTGGGCCTTGGCTGCGAGGATGCTGCGCATGTAGGCGCTGTCCGCCGCCAGCGTCTCCGCTGCTTGCACCACCTGCTCATGCACTCTCGGAGCAAGCAGGGAGCAAGGGAAGCAGGACCACCTGCCATTGTGCCAATCATGATTACTGTACAACGGCAGCCCCGCAACGGCGACCCCAACACCACCATCTGACTCCCGTGGCCTGAACTGTGACATAGAAAGGGGACGAGACCGAGATTTGTCAATCCTCGCACGAGTCCTGACTCCCGCGCTCTTTACTGGGTGCTCGGACTGCCAGCCTCGTCGCATCTTCTCCTGGAATGTTCTCCGCCACCGTGCCGCTAGGCACGAAGTGGAATTCTCAGGTCCCTTAGTTCTCTGCGTTAAGAAACGTGAGAACTTATGACAGGGCCCAGACATGCGAGTGCCAGGAATTTCAGGGCGCTCCTGGAGTTCGCCGCGTGTCCTTTCCCGACACCCTGGAAGCGCTCAGCATGCCGAAAAGAAGTCCCACGACTTGTCCAAGAACCCTCTTGGGCCCCCCTTGGGCCGTCATGGAGACCCTGGGGGCCGGCCGACCAAGCCAACATCATTGAACACACATCCGAGTTTTTCCCCAATCAGAGCTTGCCTCTGTAGGGGTCCTAGCGGATTCATGTGGTTAAGTTAGGTTTGCCGCCGATTTTCGCCGCACGCATGGGTGCCCGGGTGCCCGGATGCCTGGGCGTGCCCTGGGGTGCCCTATAGCCCTATAGCCCAATAGCCCTATAGCCCTGCAGCTTTATAGCCCTATAACCCTATAGCCCTATAGCTCAGTAGCCCTATAGCCCTATAGCCGTATAGCCCTAGAGCCCCATGATTGGGTTTTTTCTCCGGTATCAGCTATGAATTTAGCATTACTGGCCATTCGGTCTGCAGAGCGTTACAGACGGTCAAGAAGTCCCCCGACTTTCAAGACAACCCCCGAAGTCCCAAAGAGGGGCCCAAACAAAACAAAAACGCTACCGCTACGCCGCTGGAAGCCATCCCCCAAGAAGACCCCGAGATTCCCAAGATACCCTCCAAGAGGCTGCCAAAATGCCCCCAAGGGAACTTCTCAAGAGATCCCTTTGTCCAGCACCCAGGCTCGGTGGCGGGATGGGCCGAAGGCCACTGGATCCGCCGCCCCGTGCGATGCATCCAGGAGTGCTTATCGTGTCAGGCTCTAAACACAATGCTGGTCCTTCATAGTTCCCACAAGGCTTCTGGCACATCTCGCCTCTTGCGGCTGCTCGCAAGACCATGCGTATGTTCCAAGATGAGCTCTCCGTGTTGGGTGAGTATGGCTTAGTTAAGGTGCCTCCACGTTGCACGTTGGATCAATATGCCCGATGACAGCCACACAGACGGCGCACGGGGCCCTCAAGAATCTCCCAAACGACTCACGGCAGGGTCCTAAAAGACAAAACCAATTGTTTGCTGCATGTTTTCAAACGGCTTTCGCGTCCTGGCCTTTTCATGCTTCCGACATCCAAAGACGACCCACAAGGCCCCCAAGAGCGCTTCAAGACGGCCAACGAGTCCCCCACGAGGGCCCTAGGACGGCCCAAGAGCACCCCACGACAGCATCCGAAGTCGCCAGACAGCCCCAAAGCGCCCTACTGCTAGGACGGCCAACGAGAGACCCAAGATGGCCGAAGCGGGCTCCAGAAGGCACCCAAGAAGAATCCCTGGACAACTCCCCAATGTGCCTCCAACGGTTTCCCGAACGACTGGGAGATCACGCAGTCCACCAGTCCACCAACGTCGCCGCACTTTCAATTCGAAACGGCAGGAGGCAACGTCGTAACGACAGGGGGCAGCGTCGACTCGCCGTAGGCGTCTCCGATAAGAACTGCTGCAATGCCAGGTCACCTCGCCCCTAGTCATTTTATGCCAACGTGTAGGCCCCAAAACGAGAGGGGTGCCTGTAAGTTTGACCGCATCCGTGCGCGACCACCTCCAATGCTAGTGCAAGCATCCCGCTCATGCACCTGCTCCTGGTTGGTATAACACGGCTGAGCGGCGACAATGGCGGTGACGATGGCGATGTTCAATGCGACTGTTGGGACGATGCCAGCGACGACGGTGGTGTTTTTGTTCCGGCACCAGGCTCGAACGCTGCTTCCTTCCCTACGGCAACTGGCAGGCGTAACCCCGACCAACACATTCAGGACTCCGCGCAGGCGAGGCGGGCGGCCCCCGCGGGTCCGCCCCGAGGCTCGAACTTTCTTTGCGTACTTCCCTGGGCGCCCCAATTGGGTCCCGGATGGTGATGATGGTGATGACGATGATGCTGATGATGATGTTGCTGCTGATGATGACGTGATGACGATGACGACGACGACGGCGAGGGTGCTGGTGAGGATGCTGAGGAAGTGCGTGCGCGCAGACATTTGACGGGGGCGACGTCATCGCCGATACAGATGATGCCGGCGGCGGCGATGGCGACGATGGTGATGGCAATGACGAAGACGGCGATGGGAATGACAACGCCGACGATGATTGTAACGATTGTGTTGATGAGGGTGATGGGGAAGTGCGCGATGCATGGTCATTGGAAGACCATCTCAATTTCTCCTGCGTTGCACACTTCTGCGAAGAAATGGTTTGAGAACCACTGGTTTCGGAAGGGCTTCCGCGCGCGAAGGCGCCCGCGTGAGATCCTCATGTTATTAATTGGTAGGGTTGGCGGGAGCGCGATGGTCGTTAGACGTTTTGGACATGTGCGTGCGAGTGGCCTGCATGGTCCCCTTTGACAAAGCAGTTCAAACCTGTAGTTGTGTTCTGACTTCAGCGGTGCGCGCGCAGAGTCATGGCATCTTCTGTTACACAACCACTGGTTGAGGATAGTGGTTGGATGGTTCTGTCTTGAATTTGTTTGAACACACTGGGTGTTTGAAGGAATTCGTCATGCACGCGCGATTGTCCTGCCGTTATCCCAATGGTTGTCCAATCGATTTCTTGTTGTTCTGTGGTTGTTACGTGGTTGTTCTGTGGTTGTCCCAAGGTTGTTCCACGACGGTCCTGTGGTCGTCCCGTGGCAATCCTGTGGCTGTCCTGCTGTAGTCAGATTGTCCCGCGGTTGATCTGTGGTTGTCCCGCGTTTGTCCTGTGGTTCTCATGTGTGTGTCCTGTGGTTGTCCCCTGCTTGCTCCGTGAATGTCCCGCGGTTGTCCTGTGGTTGCCCCGTGGCTGTCCCGTGGTGCCGCGGTTGCCCGATGGTTGCCCCGTTGTTATCCTGCGCATGTCCCGTGGCTGTTGGACAGACAGATCACGAGTCCGATCCGACGCCAATCACAAACAGAAAGCTGCACCAATCCATCCCCATCCCCAACTTCCTTATTACTCGAAGGCTTGTCATAACTGTATGTGATCTGCTCCTGATATTTAGTCTTGCTGGTCGAAGCACGTATCGCAACGACCCCTTATCAAATACCACGCAAGGTGGGCCGACGCGACACAACACAGGAAGCCTGTGATCAATACAGCAGGAAATCGAGTGACTCGCGTCAAGTTGTGTGGGCAATCATGCTCCTCGACTAACCCCTCTCGAGTTGCATTGTGTCCAGAAAGAGAAGGTGGTCGCCTGGGAATCGTCGTCGCCATATGCGGAATCAAGCATGGCGACCAGCTGCTTGCACTGCATCCGGGTGGCTTTGCTCGGCCGCGCCCTGCGCTTTCGCTTGTGAGGTACATGGCAGAAGTTGCAGTCGACCCCATTCCTGCAGCCCACCTGGGGCGAGGCGGGTGGGGGTGGAGGGGGGGTGCCCAGAACCCTGGGAGAAGGAAGGGAGGATAGGGGGGGATGGATGCAGCGCGCAATGTGTCGTCCCCGACACCTGCACGAGGCGAGCAGTGCGGCACCCTCTGCCTGTCCATCTCCCGGACCTCCGACCCTCTTCCCTTGCCCGTTCCTCCACCTCCTCCTCCCCGCCGCTCTATTGTTCCATTCATTCCCCTCTGCCTCGCTATCCGCCTCCCTCCCTCTCTCCCTGTCTTCTCCCTCTCTTCCGCTGCCCCTCTCTCAGTCGCTTCGCCTCTCTCCGCCTCCCCGCTCCCCGAATGAACGCTACTCGCTCGTCTCTCCCACGCGCTCACAAACTTTGCAACATCATCATCTATCGAGAGCATGTGCTTTCACCATGGGAAGGTTCGGAGACGGGGAATGGGAGTAGCAGGAGGAACATGAGAACGCACATCAGCACTAACGTGTCTTCTTCAGTGTCTATGGTTCCTGGCTGCTTGTTGAAGCCACGTAGGGCGGGGCAGGCTGGCAGAGGCGAAGCACTACTGGCCCTCATGCCAGACCTTGTGTCACTGGCCTGTGCCCGCGATTTTTGGGCTGCCGGCGCGACCACATGCGGACGCGGTTAATGTCCCCACAAATGAAACAGGCGAGGAGGGACGCGAGGGGGGTAAGGAAGAGGAGGAGCAAGGCGAGTCCCTCAACCGGTGCCCACGCACACTTCGCGCAAATCGGCGGCAGGCGGGGGCAGGCGCTTGGTGCTAGACCAGGAATAGTGATCTAGTTTGGGTTTGCCTCCTTTTCTTGAGACGCCCAGGGACGCTTTGTTCTGACGGGAACGCTTCCTCTCACAGACCCAGCGCAACTACCACATACACAGGGGCCCGAGGTGGGGCACTGTCATCGGCAATTCCAGCTCTATGGAAAGCTCAGATGGCGTTCCGGTTGGGGACGCGTTGCAACACATTCAAGCGAACTGTGACGTTTGGCAAAACGTCGAATTGCTTGTGCAAGACAGCATCCGCATTCTTGGGCGACAGGCAAGCAAACAGTGGAGAGCCATGTATTACCCTTTGGTATTTGCAACTTTCCCCAGACAGTGCTTGCACTTAGTGGTTCTTACTTGCCTTCTAAGGAACTGTGCCCGTTCGCCGCCCTGGCGGCCCCGTTCCCGTCCGTCGCCGCACGTGCTCAAGTAGTAAGAAGCCCGTTTGCCGCCCCCGACGGCCCCGTTCCCGCCCGTCGCCGCCTCGCCGTTGCACCCCCCGCTGCATTGCAATCGCATTGGGTGGCAATCGCATTGCATTGCATTGCAATCGCATTGCTTTGCATTCCATTGCTTTGCGCTGCTTTGCTGTCGCACTGCAATCGCATTGCATTGCGCTGTATTGCAATCCATTACATTGCATTGCTTCGCATTGCCATGTACTGGTCTGCGTTGTTCTGCGTTGCCTCTTGCTTTTCCATGAAAGCCGAATAGACTCCACCACCCTCTCCCCCCGGACTTATCGCCACCCCCTGGGACACTGAAACGTACATATGGTTCTGCATCGTCGTTAACTTTCCATGTGAAGTCAGACCGTCCCAACAAAGCCGCCAATGCGCCCCCCCTTATCCGCGGTAAACAATATGATTCGCGCGCACCGCAATATCATGCTTCAAGGGTTACTCTCGAAACCGACGGGAAGTTCACCAGCGCGGGCACATGTCGAAACCACACCACACGCACCAGCGTTGCAAGGATTTCAACATACATGTATTAACCACAATGAGCTTCTGCATGCTAGATACTGCACGGGCTCTGCCCGTCCGCATTTGCTGAACTCATAAAAGCAGGAGTGAACCAAAACCCTCGTTCTCATCTCACCACTCGGTGCAGTCGCGTTGATCCAGCATGCGCCCAATCCACAAACCCATCGAAATAGCACCGTGCGGGCCACACGCGCGCGTGCCGCTCCGCGAGCGTTTCGAAATCATTTCAAAACATCGTCGCCACCACCATCGCTACTATTATCATCGCTGTCGCTATTGTCAACGTCATCATCATCATCATCATCATCATCATCATCATCATCATCATCATCATGCGACCGCGCCCACCCGAGCCACCGACCCGTATTGAAGAGCCCTCGCGCAGGCGCTGCATTTGACATGCGCTGGGACGTTGCCTTCGGTGAACGCCATCGCGGCCGCATCGGTTGTGTCAAATCAGCTGGCCACTCTGCGCGCGAGCTTGCGCGCGTCAGCGCGGCCGCAGAAATTCGCCAGTCATGGCCAGGCAGTAATAGCAATCGCCGCCGCATGGGTTTGCAAACCAAGTTGCGGGTGGGAGGATGGGATGATTGCGCGAGCAGTGGAGTTGATGACTCATGAGTTGGCAAACGAATGCGTTGCAACACATGTATTGCAACACGTGGATTGCACTACCAAATTGTTCTGCAATGATTGCACCACCTAGATTGCACCGCATGGCTTATAAGAAATCAGTGTTTGGGGTCTGCGCTAGCTAACATTATGTTCATTATGGGATTCCTGCGACCTGCCGTATTCGGGGCCGCATCCACGTGCTGGCTGGCCATGGCATGCGCGCCACGCGCGCAAACATGATCGACCCACGAACCCGGAAAGGAATATAGAAATGTAAGGCATGGCAACGTTTCAAAGACACCTGATTGGGCGACGGGCAAATGGAATGCTGAATGTATCGATCTTGGTGTACCGTGCCGAGAGCTGCGCTGTGCTGCGCCGTGCTGAATTGGGATGTGCCATGCCGCGATTGTGCTCTATACAACGCTGTGGATCGAGTCCTCTGTTGCATCCGAGTCCTGACCGAAATGATCTGGAACTTAAGCTCGAGCTGCCTGAGCACATGGTAGCTGTCACATAACTAATCGACAGAAGGGACACGCCAGGAGGACGCGCCGCGGAACGTCCCAAGGGACGCGCCAGGCGACGTGCCAGGGGACGTGCCATGAGGACGCACCGCGGGACGTGCCAAAGGGACGCGCTACGGAACGTGTCGATGGACGTGCCAGGGGACGTGCCAGGGGACGCACCGCGCGACGTGCCAGGGGGACTCGCCACGGAACGCTCCGCGGAACGTGCCAAGCAACACGCCAAGCTGCAATGTTGAGTGTATCGATCTTGATGTACCGTGCCGACGGCTGTGCCGCGCTGCGCTGTGCAGAATTGAAATGTGCCATGCTGCGATTGTGATCTATATAGCGTTGTGGATCGAGTCCTCTTTGCATTCGAGTCCTGACCGAACTGACCCTGATCTTAAGCTCGAACTGCCTGAGCAGATGGTAGCTGCCCCAGAACTAATCGACAGGGTGGACATGTCAGGAGGACGCGCCGCGGAACGTCCAACGTGCCAAGCGACGTGCAATGGGACGTGCCATGAGGACGCACCGCGGGACGTGCCAAAGGGACGCGCTACGGAACGTGTCGATGGACGTGCCAGGGGACGTGCCAGGGGACGCACCGCGCGACGTGCCAGGGGGACTCGCCACGGAACGCTCCGCGGAACGTGCCAGGCAACACGCCAAGCTGCAATGCTAAGGGTATCGATCTTGATGTACCGTGCCGAGGGCTGTGCTGTGCCTGGGCGACCTGTACACGTGAAAACAAGCGTTTCGTTCAAGACGTTCTCAGCACATCCTCATGCTAGATATCCGCTTGGGCGACCTGGACACGCGCAAACAAGCGTCTCGATCGAGACTTTCTCAACACATCCTCATGCTAGACATCCGCCTGGGCGACCTGGACGCGTGAAAACAAGCGTCTGGTTCGAGACATCCTCAACAAATCCTCATGCTAGACATCTGCCTGGGCAACCTGGACGCGTGAAACCAAGCGTCTCGCTCGAGACCTCCTCAAGACCTGGGCACGTGAAAGCAAGCATTTCACTTGAGAGATCCTCTGAATTCTGGTCCCCAAGAGAGACGACAATATTTAACACAGAACAAGCGTTTCGATCGAGACATCTTCAACAAAATATGAAAAGCCAGCGTTTCGTTCGAGACATCCTCAAAATCCAATTTCGCCGGCCCTAGGCGACCTTGTTATTTATCGCAAAATAACTCCGCCAGCCCTACAGCCGTCGAAACCGAGAGTAAACCAACTAAAAAAACACCCTAGGCCCACGCCGCTTCTGGGAACAACTAATACCCTGTTCGAGTGTCCAGCTGGCAGTCGCCGCCCTGCTCAACGATCGACCAAATCCACACGCAAACATACTGTTTGGACATCGGCCACTACTGCCACAGCAAAACGCGAACTGCAGCCGATGCATCGAGCCCCAGCTTCGGCATGATGAATCATCCAGTCGTGCCAACTGCCTGCTCCCCGTAGAGAAGCGAGAGTTCCAGCGGTGCCCCGAGGGAGCTTTGGGATAAGAGGGTCGAAGAATGCACGCGCATAATGACTATCCTGCCTGGCAATATCGAGTATCAAATTTGCGCTTCCTTTCAACATGCACCCTGAAGCGCCCTCATCCTAATGATGAAGCTGTATGTCTGACGCACGGCTGGCACGAAGCCGGGGGAGTGCGACAACACATTTGCCTACTCCCGCGCCTGGGTGTTCATGTACAGGCATGGCCTGCAAATGCCGGCGAAGTGCTGCGCGCTGCCCTTCGACGCCTTCATGAGGACCTCCTCCGCGACCTCTTGATCTTCATCCTCCCCAGGGCTTGGCCCGGGAGGCTCGAGATGGGCAGGGAAGGCCGAGGCTGGAGCCGAAGAGGTGCGACTCTGCGCTCGGAAGCGCTGGCGCCACCCAAATGTCCTGGGGTATCGCTGCCACGCCCTGAGTGGCAGAACTCACAGACACGAGACATAACAGATCATTGGCGAGCGCGTAGCGCAGCAGGAGTGCAGATTTACGCATGGGTAACCTTCAAGGCAGTGGGGGCCAGCGCAATTCACTCCAGGGGGAACGGATCGAATGGGGGACCTCCGTCTCTCCCTGTCTTGACCTCCCCATCCAATTTGCCGCTCATGCTGGTGGACACCTTGTCTGCGGGGTCGTGCTTAGGTCTCGTAGGCAATGTGCTTCCCGAAGGTAGGAGGTGGGGGAGGGCAGGGACGAAGGGAGGGGGAGGAGATGGGGTTGGGGGGGCCAAAGGACGGGTCTGCTTTCGGTTGGCAACTTGACCCCCAACTCTCCGAAACTCTCGTGCCAAATTCCTTCGGGTTGTGAGCATGCTGGCTCTGTCCGCGGGCACCCTCGACTTTCTGAGCGGGCCGGCCCCGCTTGCGGAGCTCAGGCCAATGGGGGGACCCGCGCGCTCCTCGCCGTCTTCGCCGCCGCTCTCCGAGCGGGCGCCGGTGCCGGAGCCGGGGCGGGCGGCGGCCGGCGCAGGCTGCTCCGCCGTGGGCTCCTCGGAGGGGTGCTCGAGGGGGAGGGTGCTCCCTGGCGCGTGCCCTCGGCCCGAAGTCCCCACCCCGAAGCGAGCCTACGGGGCCGTTCGCAGGCCTGGTTGGTTTCCTGTTCTTTGTTTGCTGGCCAGGGTGGAGGGAGCCACATTTGTTCTGCTTTCCGATATTGCAAGATGGCACCATCGAAACTAGTTAGAAGAATTGATCAGATTGCAATCGGGCGCCTTCGGGTAGCACTGCAAGCAAGTGTCGTTCCGGCACCTTGGGCACATCCATCTCCGTGAGGAGCCTCCCAAGTGGCCCTGCTGAGAGCTGCCAAAGCAGCGGCTGCAGAGGTAGTGCGGCCTCAAGCGGAGGATATCCTAGGCGGGTGCTGGCTACACACAAGACCTGGCCCTGCCAATCCTGAGCCCAAGATTGGTGCGTGCGATCTCCAGGACAGACCAAGAGAGCATGGGCGCCAATCCTGGGTCCAGGAAAGCCTGGTCGAGTTTGGCGCTAGCGAGCAATGGCGTCCCCCGATGTCCGGAAAGAGGTCGGAGATCTGCATGACGCAGCCGTCCCGCTCGCACAATGGCGGACTACCCTGGTTGTCCAGAGCCGAACTCTGGACCGAGCTCTCCTCGAATCCACTCTCTTGCACGCTGCTGTCTCCATTGCTCGCGCTATCCGCAAGAAAAACATGAGGGCCTTCTGCGGGCTGTCCAGCAACCACGGACTGCCCGTGCCATGGGAGGACTTCGTGGCTCAACGCGGAAGAGCTCTCGTCCCCGAAGCCCGAGGAGCTCTCGATCCTGGAACCAATGGACTCGCTGTCGCTGTGGTTGATCATGCGGTGTGATCCCATCAGGTCCATAAGCCGACTCGGCAACTAGCATCCCCTGGTCGGGCCACTCTTCCTGCTGTGCTGACGCGCACCTCGGTGGGCTGCCGGATGCCGCGGGCAATGCTCGCCATGATGCCTCCCGAAAGATCTGCGGCGAAGCTGAGATGCACGAGCCCGGATACGAAAACGAGCAGGCGGGCGAGGCCGAATTCGTACGCTTTCTCTTAACGAGTGCGAGGGGGGTCGCGACAAGGGGGGAGCACACGGGGTCTCGGGCAGGCTCGGGGGTTTTCTCCCCCAGATCCCCTCGCGAGGGAACATGTGCGATAGCCTTCAAGCATGCTCACTGGACTTGGGCCCTGGGCAGAACCAAGCATGTGGTTAACGGCGGGATCCCTCGGGCACGCGAATAACGCGGGGGAGGGGGTGCATCAACATACCTGACGTGTGGTCCCCGTGACGAGATCCTCGCGCCTCGGCAGGCAATCCCCCTTCCACTCCCCCGAAGGCCTTCAGAGTCCCCGAAAGGACAGGAGGAACGCGCACAAACCTCGGCCCTTCACCGCCCTGCCAGCATCAGCTCAAGCTCGCCCCCCCCAATCTTCCTGGACGCCGTGCGACCAGTGTTTCGAGCCGAGTCTGGCCGCAGCGACGAGCGGGGGTCCTCCGAGGGCCGAGGAGGGCCCGAAGCCTGCGCGGAATTGTGAAGCGGGCCCATCGACGATCAAAGATCAAAGATATATTGTCTGGATTTGCTTGGCCGCTTTGTGGCCTCCAGAAGCCTCCAGAGGCCTCAGGGGGACCTTCACGCAGAGTTCCAGAGAAATCTAGGGGAGGGGCCGCCCAGCCTGGGCAAGCTTCTGGCACCCTGAAGGGCCTCCTGGGGGCCGCCTTGGCTGCGGTCCCTCTCAATGCTCCACAGTCCTCCTGCGCATCCCCCCTCCCGCCCCTTCCCCTCTGGAGCGGCCTCTGAAGGGGCCCTGAAGACGCTGGGGTCCCAGGGGATCCCCTCGAGGCTCCATGGGGCCACCCCAGACACCACCTGCAGCCCGACCCAAACCTTTGGAAACGCATCAGGTCGCCACGCCTTTGCGGTCGCCACGCCTTTGCGGTCCCACGCAAGTATCCGCGCCATTCCGTGGCAGACCACTGAGAGTGCCTGTGGACCCCCTCTGGAGGTTCCCCTCGAAGTCTCTATAGGCGGAAGTCCGAGCGAAGCGTCAAGGGCACCCCGCGACGCAACGTATCACAGAACCAGCAACGCCGCAAAGTTAGCAACAACAGCGCAGCACCTAACGAAAAGCAAACGGGAGAGGAAAGGGAGGGAGAAACAGCTGCCATGCGGCACTGATACCGAACAACGGAACTGCGGACAAATATGAATACACGGAGCTTCGGCTGGACCACACGGCCAGCCCGAATTGGCGAGTAAAGGACTACCGCGTGGACAATAATGCCGAAGGATGGAAGTCTTGGAAAAGTGCGTGAGAAGCAGGTGACGATATGAAAGTCTCGAACCCCGTCTTTCAATTCAAGAGGCCATCGCCGTGCTCCGTGCTGCAGCACGACCAGGGGCACCTGTTCCCGCACAGGCGCACTGACACCAACGCAATAACACACCGACGTATGCCCGCCGAAAGCGTCGGTGGTGCATGTCTGCAGAATGGTGCCTCGAAAGGGGCGGACAATAGCAGGTCTGCGAAGGCAGTGTCCAATTGGCCGCCGAATCGACAGCCGAGGGGTGGCGGTAAAATGATCGCAGGGTCAACTGCGGCGAAATAAACGAAACCTCCGGGCGCGATCAAGGGCGCGCCAGTCTGCCTTGCGAGCAAATCCCAATCAGTTTGCTTTCTGCCTCCCCCCTCCCCCCCTTCCCCACATCCTTTCTCCCCCTGTTCCCCTCTTCCCTGAATCCCCCTTCCCCACCGCACCGTTCTCCGTTCCTTGCCTTCGTCTCCCCCCCGTCGCCTAACATAGGGAACTTCCCGTTGTGCTGCGGGAACCGAACGCCGATCGAAGCTTGAGCGGGATCGACTGAACCGACAGCGAGAAACATCCGCATACGGAATGACCACGGGGGAACGAACGCGGAACGAGCAGATCTGGTCCATCCGATCGAAATGGTATTTCCCCATCGCGATGAACGGGCCAAATCGCGGGTTGTTCCCGCGGACCATCCATCAGCAGAGCCGCCTCACTTTATTTCCGCCAATTTCATCCGCCCTTCCGTCGCCTTCCGCCGAAGAGTCAACCTCTCGACCCCTCGAAGATTGGCCCGTTTTTCAACGAGCTATGTGGCCACAATTCCTCCTCATCTTCCTGAACATATGTAAGAAGCTGTGTTCCCTGGAAGCGAACGAGATTCGAGGCAAACAACAATGCAAATAACGTTGGTCTGACACGCTTCGGTTTGGCCGCTACGCTACAACCGCGTACGAATTTCCTCCAGCTACTCTTGCTCACCCAGTCGGGACGCTATGAACGACCCCTCTCCTCGGCGCGAGCGCGCCACTGGGCTTTTCCGGGCCCAAGAGGGCCTAAAGACGGGCCAAGAAGGCCCCAAGAAGCCTTCAAGACGGCCCACGAGGGCCCCGAGACGCCAAACGAGCGCTCCAAGACGTCCACGATGCCACCAAAACGGGCCAAAAGGCCTCCAAGACGGCCGACGAGGTCCCAAAGAAACCTCCCAAGAGGGCTTCGAGAGGCGAAAACTGATGATGTTCCATTGTGTTTTTCTGAGTGTTTGGCTTTTCCGCCTTTTCGGCTTCCCGACGCCCCAGGATGGCCCAAGAGGCCCCGAAGACAGCCCAAAGATAACCCAAGAGACCTTCAAGACGGTCCCAAGACGGCCCAAGAGGGTCCCAAGACCGCCCAAGAGGCCCCCAAGACGGCCCAAGAGGGCTCCAAGACGGCACCAAAAGGGGCCCCAAAGGGCAACCAACATTTCAAAAAATCTAATTGTCCGCCCCCAGGAGCCCCAGGGGGCCCCAAGAGTGCCCCAAGAGGCCGCCAGAGGCTCCCAAGAGGCCCCCAAGACGCCCCAAGGAACCCCCAGGAAGCCCCCCAAAAGCAACCCCAGAGCTCCGAAACGGCCCCCCGGTGGCTTCAAAACTGCATTCCAGACGCCCCCATGGAGGCGTGCCGCGAGATTCCGATACACACACAAGAAGCCTCACACCCATAACCCATCACCCAGAGCCTTCTCTCTGTGTCCCCCTCTTCCTCCTCCCCCTCCTACTCCACCTCGGCCCTCAAGTGGCTTCAAAACTGCTTTCCAGAGGGCCCCGAGAGGCGTGCCACGAGATCCCGATACCCATACAAGACGCCTCTACCCCATAACCCATACTACAGAACCTCATCTCATTGTCCACCTCATCCTCCTCCTCCGCCGCCCCCTCCTCGCCCCCTCCTTTTCCTCCCCCGTTTCATTCTCGTCCTCTCCGCTTAGTACTACTTCTAGCAAACCTATATGTGCTTATACCTTGACTTCAAAGACTACGGCTACGACGACTACTACTACGACTACGTATACCTCTACTACTACTACTACTACTACTACTGCTGCTGCTGCTGCTACTACTACTACTACTACTACTACCACTACTACTACTACTACTACTACTACTACTACTGCTGCGACTACAACTACGACTACAACGGCTACAACTACTACTCCTACTCTTACTACTACTACTACTACTACTACGACTACTACTACTACTACTACTACGACGACGACGACGACGACGACTACCACTACTACCACTACTACCACTACCACTACTACTACTACTACTACTACTACTACTACTACTACTACTACTACTAATACTACTGCTACTACTACTACTACTACTACTACTACTACTACTACTACTACCACTACTACTACTACTACTACTACTACTACTACTACTACTACCAGCACTATCACTACTACTACTACTACTACGACTACGACTACTACTACTACTTACTACTACTACTACTACTACTACTACTACTACTACTACTACTACTACTACTACTACTACTACTACTACTACTACTACTACTACTAGTCTACTACTACTACTACTACTACTACTACTACTACTACTACTACTACTACTACTACTACTACTACTACTACTACTACTACTACGACTACTACTACTACTACTACTACTACTACTACTACTACTACTACTACTACTACTACTACTACCCTGTAACGCCCCTCACGGGGGTAGAAACCAACTGGGTGCAGTTTACTCCGTGGAGCGTCGTGGTGTCTCCTCCTCCACTCGTGTGCTTGCGCCAGGCTCGCAGGTGGTCAAAAAAATGCCCCGAACATCAAAGACTACGTTATTAGAGGTTTCGGCTTCGACTCCTTTCCCAGAGCCCCGACGTGGTGTCTGTTCATCGTGTCGGCGCCCTTGTTGTCGTGAAATTCTCCTCGGAGGGCCTCTTTGTGACGCCCCCTCAGAGAGGGGAGGAGGGAGGAGGGAGGAGGGAAGGAGGAGGGAGGAGGGAGGAGGACGGATGGGGAGGAGGCGGATCTCGCGCACGGCGCTATCGGAGCCTTCGAGGCTACGGATGAGGTAGGAGGAGGAGGAGGAGGAGGAGGAAGAGGCGGAGGAGGAGGAAGAGGAGGAGGCGGAGGAGGAGGAGAAAGAGGAGGAAAAGGAGGAGGAAGAGGGGGAGGAAGGATAAAAAGCAGGACGGATGAGGAGAAGGATGACGACGACGAGCAGGAGGAGGAGAGGGAATGACGCCCGTCCTGGAGCCTCTTGGTGTCGCCTTGGCTCTCCTAGAGCGTGCTGGGGGTCCTGTGGCCTGTTTGGGCTCTTCGGGGCCTCTTGGGGCCTCTTGGAGCCTCCTGGGCCTTCTGGAGCTCCCTGAGTGTAATTCAAAATGGGTCCTCCGGGGGGCTCTTGAGATTTCGTGGGCCCCCCCGGGGCCGCCATGGGCCCTCCTGGAGCCTCCGTGGGCCCTCTCAGAACCCTCTCGCGGGGGCGGAATGATGAAAACAATTTCACGCATGGGGG